GTAAAAGGTGAGGTTTCCAGAAACCTGTAACCATGACTAGATAATGGGTGGTATTAATTAGTCAAAGGCTGTTCTTGGGTCTCGTTAACCTTATGGTGAAATTTTATCTTGAAATAGTATAAATAGATCTGAGCCCTTTTACATCTTTGATACAATGCAGGGGTGTAACTTCTGACACTATGTTGTTTTTTGCTAGCTGTTTAGTAGATTTAGGATGATAGAAATCAACAGAAGCACTTCTTTACTTGTGGAAACTGTAATAATAGAAACAATAAACATAACATGCTAGTCTTGTATGGAGTGTGTCTATTTTATTATTGTATAGACTAATAAACATACATAATTTCTAGAAAAGAATATTCTCAGCTTTCGGACACTCTTTTATTAAATATGTGAAAACTGGAAAATTAGAAAAACTCATCAGATCCATCTGCTTAATTATTTATGCTCTGCAGAGATGAGAGTAGAATTTGGTAATTTTTGGTAATTTTGTCTTGCTCCTAGGTAACTTACGGCTCTTTTGACTATACTTCACTGCTCTACCTCTCTGACTACACTGAAGACTTTGGTGGTGGACGGTTTGTCTTTATGGATGCAGGTTCCAACAAGACGATAGAGCCCCGAGCAGGTAAGAATCTTGGTTTGCCTGCATTGAGGCAGACCAAATTGTGCCATTTATTAATTTAATTTTGTCTTGCTCCTAGGTAACTTACGGCTCTTTTGACTATACTTCACTGCTCTACCTCTCTGACTACACTGAAGACTTTGGTGGTGGACGGTTTGTCTTTATGGATGCAGGTTCCAACAAGACGATAGAGCCCCGAGCAGGTAAGAATCTTGGTTTGCCTGCATTGAGGCAGACCAAATTGTGCCATTTATTAATTGGGTGGGCTGGTGGATGTAGTGGACTCTGTTTTGTGTCAGCAGTAACTGTGCAATAACATAGCATTTTGTCTTCAGATTGATGAAATAAAAAGTAAAGATTAAAAAGGTTATAATATGGCCACAGTTTGAAATATCTGGAGTTAAGCCACACAAAGGGACCTCCTTGAAAGCTGAAGGGCTTGGAACTGTAATCCAGTTATGACAGCTTAGCAGGTCACTATGCGTCAATAGCAAAGATAACTCTGTGACTACAGCAAATCCAAAATAAAGCAATTTATTTTAGACTGCCTGGCCTGAAATTCCTTTGCTGTTCAAAGTGGGGCTTAATACCCTGTAATTGCTGTGGGCTGGGTGTGAAGATGATTGATTACCACAGCTCTGCTAACCTGCAGTAACCTGATGAACCGTGGTAACTTGGTTCTAAGTCCATAGCTGCTTTCAGCCGATCTGACAGGGATGAGAATCCTGATGTCTGTCGGGGGGGCGGGGGGGGCAAGCCTTTCCTTTAAGACTGGTTTAAGGTTTTTTGAATAAGTGGATCATTTGAAACTAGAATTGCTTTGGGGCAGTACACCTAGGAAAAAAGAGCTCAGTCTCAACTCATCTGTTTGGCAGGTGAGGGCTGAGCTTACAGCAGTGTAACCTTTTATAATGCAAGCCTAGTCACACTTTTGCAAGGGGGGGGGGAAGGGGGTGGGCGGAAATCAAAGACAACTTTATATTCCTACTGTGTTCTCTTTTTTTCAAGAAAGAAAAGATGGAAATTTACTCATTTAAAGGCAGCCTCAGTAATTGTCTGCTGACAGGCGTTACCTCAAGCAGAACTGACTTCGGACTATTGCGGCCTGCAAATGGGGATGAGTGTGGGGTTATTTGACTTATGGACCCTGCCGATCCACTCACCAGCAATAATGCTGGCTTAGATTAAACTCTGAGATTGTCTGCATTCTGGGTTTGGTGTCAAGAATTGTATGTTTGATTATTTTGGCTTTTGTGGTTGGAAATAAACCCTAAACTGAAAGTATCATCTTTTGCAAAATGCTGCCATCAGTATTTTGAAAGGGAACATGTTAAACTCTTTCATTTCCAGATGCAATTCTAAGATTAACATGTTTTTACGGCTATAGAAATCATAGTTGAATTCTAGGTAGGTGGGAGGACAGCTCTCTCCTTGCACAGTACAGGGGCACTCAATCTAGTTGCTGTATGCAATGTGCCCCGACTTAATTTCAAAAAGTCTGCAACTGTGAAATTGCTTCCGCTCAGCCCTATCGGGTTAATTTTCAGGCTCTGTTGCAAGGTGTTTGCTTTTTATGTCGTTTTTGCGGAGGAAGGGGGAGCAGATGAAGTACAGAAAGATTTTTGGTGGGTTTGTGTGGTTTTTTTTTTTTTTTTTTTAACGGACCCTGGTTTTGGCCATTGCCTTTTGCAGGTTGTATTGACAAGATGTGTGCCACAGAACTGGTTAAACACACATCTTAAAACAAAACAATGCAAAGCTTGTAGGAAATGGCTTTTTGGTTTTTTTTTCCCAGAGATTAAATGTGCTACGAGTACACAACAGAAAATTAACTTTAATGCCACTTACACCTTTCTAACGCACTCCTCTGTCTAAACACAGTTGTCAGGAGGTCCTGTGATTGTGTCACTACCTATGGTGCGATCTAAATAACCACTAACCTCCTGTGAGCAAAGGAGGAAGGCTTTAGAGGTGAAGCACAATGTGAAGGCAATTTCACTTCGTTTTCTTCTCGCTCAGAAAATGCGGGTTGTGAGAGAATGTGAACGAGGGAATGACCCCGGGGTGTTTTCTGTTGCTGGTACAAGTTGGTGTATTTTTCATATTCAGAATGTTCCTTTGCAGTGTTTTTTCTCTCCTTCCCTCTTTGTGGTTTTTTTTTGTGTTTGTTTTATCCTTCTTTTGATCCTTTGTGTTTCTCTCCTCACTGCAACTCAACTTTTAAAACCATGTGTTGATAAGCTTTTATGCTTCTCATTTAGGAGATTCAGGCTTTTTTAGAGATGCCTGTTGTAATCGTTGGTTCGCTTCTAGTGCTTGACAGCTAACTTACCTGCTCTGTATTTCTAATGCCATTTCAGTTTTAAAACCTGGCACTTCTTGTTGTCTCAAAGTTAGTCTGCGTTTTGGGAACCTAGGTACTCTGTGCCAAAATGAGCACATTCCTTTTTCTGTGAGCAGTAATTTGTTAAAGTGTCAGGCTTTACAGTAGGGAACAGAAGGGCATTGTTACTGATGCAGCAAAGTAGAAAAGCAGTAACTTGAAATACAAAAACAGACAATTAAAACTAAAACATTAAGGGATTTCCTGTGTTTGGGAGTGCTGCCTGGGCAAGTCCCACTGCTGCTTCAAATGGTTTCACAGCTATGAACCGTTTAAGGATCAGTCTTAGCCAGACAGTTAGGGACAGGGAGAACTGTTTTGTTAGAAGTGGAGCCTAATTTAAAACACTTATCAATTCTTTAAGTATATATCACTTGTGGATTGTGCAGGAAGCCTGTAAGTCCTGATTCTCACGTATTTGAGTGAAAGACTCTCATTTGTAGCACGCTCTATAGTATTGCCTAGTTCAATTATTAACAAACTCCTCTAGCTTTAAGAAGGAATTATAATTTATTAACCTAGAGGCTCTTGAGATTTTTTTTTTCTTTAAGGGACATGAACAAGTCACCACTGTGTTGCCAATTCACATGTACAGACCTTTGGCTAATTCATTACCAAATGTGGCATTAAGGAACACATCTTTCTTGTGCCCTGATGGGCTTCAGAAGTATGTATTTGTCTTTTGACTTAAGTCAAGACCTCTGCTGCAAGAAACTCACTGTACCATGAGTAAGAGAATTCTTAGTGCCAAGTGAAATACTTCTTTGAAAAGAAAACATTTTTTTGGACAAAGAAACAATTCTAAACTAGTATCTGTTGCTTTTAAATGTCTACATGAAGTCTGTTTCCAAAATTGACATATTGGCATTTTTTTCATCCTTTGCACCAGGGGTATCTCTGTTCAAGAGACTAAAAGAAACAGAGTAAGGTTTAGAATGAGGTCCTTCAAAACGAAACCCACGGCCCTTTCACCATTAACTTTCCTTTGCTGGCCTGAGACATGTTTTAGTAAACTTCAATAGATACAGGAGGATTAAGAATAAATGGCAGACATCAAGGCATTCATTTTTCAGTGATAAAACTGGTATACTTTCTGCTGCTAGTAAATTTTTCAGTGTAAATCATATTTAAAGTTTTGTAATTTTGGAAAATCTTGTGTGAATTTGGGAACTGGCAATATTAGATCACAGACTTCACTTTATGATAAAATGTAGATGCCACCCTGTAGTTGGAATGAAATCTCAGTACCAGTTGTGTGTTCCTTATTTGCATGTACATTTCTTGGCTTTAAGGTCAGCTTTGCTGCACATATTTTCCATTCACAAGGGAGTTTGTTCTTCATGCAAGCTGTTTATTACATAAGGTAGCAGGAAGGGTCACAATCACTACTTCTGTGTGTTTGTGGAAGAAAATAATCTATGGTGCAAAAGGAATTCACTGCATTGGAGAGTGAAATGTGACTTCCTTGAATATCAGACTTAGCATATTTTCATAGCTGTCAGAAGTGTAAAAATATTTGAGATGAAGGTATGAGTTATTTGGGAACTTGTGAAGTTGCATTATTCTTCATTTAAAATGGAAAAAAGTGTATGCTCAAAGCCTGAGCCATTAGTGTTTCTGCTCGGGTAAGGAAAAACATACATTTACGAATGCATAGGTAGCTTTCTCATAGTGCAGGAATGGGCTTCAGGCTGTCTGTGTGTACGTTTGCTGAGGTAAGTGTAGCTTTACTGCAGTGGCTAGGTATCACATAACTCTCAGATCCTGTAATCATGCGAATAAGTGCAGTACTCCAAATTAGGTAGTGGAAATTTGTCATATCTTTATTTTATGGTGCTCTTAAAAAAAATCAGTTTGGAGGAATTCCCTGCTAAAGGCTGAGGGATGCAGCATAGGGACAGAAAGTGCAATGACGTGAAAAGTGGGATTTCCAGATTCAGAAGTCCCACAACAACTTTAACACAAGGTGTGAAAACTGTTTAAAGCATATACTTAGTAATCCGTCTTATATCATGGAATAGTGGATTTTCTTTCTACCCACCGAGTATAGGTAGTCTGATCTTTCTCTACATTCAGTCCTTATCATCCAGATTCAGTCTAGATCACAACAATCTGGCATTCCAGCTTTAGTTTTGCTCCAATCAGTAAAACTGGAGCACATCCTGATGTTGAATCAGTAACAATGGAAAGTTGAGAATGATTTTTAAAAATCCACAGAAGTAGCTGTCAGTCCTAGAGAAGAATACATGGAGCTATCTTTAGCAGCTGCAGTAATAACCAACTATGCAAAGTTCATGGATTGTAGGACAGCAATTCTTACTGATTTGCAATAGTAATCACAAATTGCACCTGGGACTGGTAAGATGATTGCAGAGAGGAATGGTAGGAAAAGGAGGACCTGTTGCAGTTGTGACAAAAATATGTAGAAAATAGCTCGATAGCTCTTCATTTGTAGAACTCTGAAGATTTTTCTTTTGCTTTCTGTATTCTTTTCAATGGAAGGATAGCTTTCTCCCAGACTCTGCTTTTGTATTCCGGTGGTACTTAAGGATGGGTTTATGGTGGCATTAAATGAAATATTTTAATTGGGCCCATAAAGCAACAGGTACCTGGGAGGCAC